CTTCCTCTGTGTATGGTTCCACCTCCCAGGCAGCCATTTTATGGTTGGCTTTGCCTCCCATGGCAGCCATTTTGTGGTTGTGCCCACCAATCTGTATCAGGATTCCAAAGGTGCCCAGAGGCTCAAAAAGGCTGGGGACCTCTGTCCCCAGGTGTGTGACAGTAAATGCTATAGATTTTAGAAAGAAGTTACAAATCCTGGTGATGAGCTGTTTACCAATAAATGTATGAACAATGAGATTATTTGTTTAGTATATTAGAAAGATAAACCAGAAAATGGCATTTAAAGAGCCACAGTGAAATTGTAAAAAAAAACCTTCTTGTCCTTGTAGATTCCTTGTAAACTTTTGTGAAAGCAGCTAAAAATGAGCATAGGTCTCTTTGGAGAAGCAGCCAGTAATGTTGAGAGCCTGCTTTATGAACTAACTGGACATATCCAATAGATCACACGGCTGGAGCTCGGTTCCTTTGAGAAGACAGCTGACAGGAGGTGGTATTAGTGGTACTCTTCAAGGACAGTCCCACATAAAAATGTGAGGCTGTAGACAACCATCAACATTACAGAAATATGAATAATGGTTCCTAAACTGAAAACAACATTTAACTATTGATGGAACTGCCATTTTGAAGTATTGGTAGACTACAGCCCTCTTCCTTTTTGTCTTTCTTTTTTTAAAAACTGTAGATCAGATTTTTAAAACTGCAGCTTATGGTTACAAATCGTTCTATTGCTAGTCACTGTTAACTGGTGGAGAAGTTGAGGAAAAAATGCAGAGGACCTTTCCAGAGTATGGGTGAATGTTGAATGAAAAGGTGACATGTTCTATGCTGTCTGTCAGTCAGCCACTGTGTTGGTTTAAGTTACAAAACTCTCAGTGATACTGAGCATATGGAGTAGTGCTTGCTCACAACTTAGGAATCCTTTTGTAGGAGCGAAGTTTTAACTGGAAGCCTTTCAAACAGCCTTCTCAGTGTCTCCAGAAGGGTAGTGCACAACACAAGCTAGTATGCACTGCCTCCTTGTGGCCAGAAACAACAGTAGCTACTTTGGTAATTTCCCACGTATGTGTGTAAAGTGCCATCAAGTCACAGCTAATTTATGGAGATCCCAGGAAGGGGCTTTCAAGGCAGGTGAGAAGCAGAGGTGGTTTGCCATTGCCTTCCTCTGCAAAGTTTTCCCTGATAATTTCCTTTTCCAAGTAGCAACCTAGCTTAGCTTCTGCGATCTGACAAGATTGGGCTGTATCACGCCGTCTTCCCTTCACACTTGTTGTTGTTGTTCAGTCGCAGTCGAGTCAGACTCTTCGCGACCCCATGGACAAGATCACGCCAGGCCTTCCTGTCTTCCGCCGTCCTCTGAAGTTGGCTCAATTTCATGTTCGTTGCATCTATGACACTGTCTAACCATCTCATCCTTTGCCGTCCCCGTCTTCTTTGACCACACTACAGGCAGGCAAACTGGAGATGTTTTAAAAGTATGCTATTCTCTGTGGCGTTTTCTCTATTCTCCAGATGGATTTGATTCACTTTCTTTCTGTATATTAAAGGATCCTCAAACACCAGGGGTCCCCCAAAGTCCATATTTGGTGGTATAAAATAGACACAGGCCATTTTCTACAACAGGACCCTAAATATGGGACCCCCTGGTGCCTGCCAAGCATTTTTAGAAAGTGGGTGGGGCCAGATGGAGCTTTCCTTTAGCGGGGCTTCTGATTGGCGACAGATGATCTGATTGGCCAAGTTTTAAAAGAACCCCAAAAGCATTGTTTTCAACAGCAGCTGCCGTCACAACACAAAGATCTTCACTGAGGCACTGAAGCCTCTGTATATATGCAAGAAAATATTTTAAAACAATATGTTTATCTTAAAAGGCCTCCTGTTAAGAAGAGCTTCTGTCTGAAATATTTGTGTGACTATTACAGTTATGCATAGCCTCACTTCCTGACATTTTGTGGTCGGCTCCTGCAGCAGCCACTTTGTCGCTGTGCCCAGCAATCTGTGTCAGAATTCCAGAGGCTCCCAGAGGCTCAAAACGTTTGAGGACCTCTGTCCTACACCAATCTGTCCAGCTGTGCTTTCATTTAAAAAAAAACATTGCATTTAAAAAAACATTGCATTAAAAAAAAACATTTTATAACAGTTTTATAAATGAGAAGCTATGAAGGGTCTTCTGGCATGAACTATGGAAATCAAGTAAATCAATCCAAACATTTTTCCTTTTATGTTCTTGGGAACTGTGTTCTTTCTGTGGTAATTTGTAACAGCCAATTTCATATTTTAACCTATGAAAATTACAAAAGAGCCACCATGATGTAGTGGATAGAGAGGCTAGGATCTCAGAGACCACTCAATTATGGCATTTTCTGGGTCATCTTGGGCCAGATATACTCTCTTAGCTTAACCTAACTCACAGCATTTATTTATATTATTTATTTATTTATTGCATTTTTACCCCACAACACTATTTAACACTATTTAAAAGTGCTTTTTTTATTACATTCATAGCCTACTCTTCTTGAGAGCCAGTTTGGTGTAGTGGTTAAGTGCGCAGACTCTAATCTGGGAGAACCAGGTTTCATTCCCCACTCCTCCACTTGCAGCTGCTGGATGACCTTGGGCTAGCCATAGTTCTGTCAGAGCTGTTCTCTCAAGGACAGTTCTGGAAAGAGCTCTATCAGCCCCACCTACCTCACAGGGTGTTTGTTGTGGGGATGGGAAGGGAAAGGAGATTGTAAACTGCTCTGAGACTCCAAGTGAAGGGCGGGGTATAAATCCAATCTCCTCCTCCTCCTCTTCTTCTTCTTCTTCCTCCTCCTCCTCCTCAGTGCTCAGAGCATACTTCATGGTCCTTATTTTATCCCCACAATAACCCAGATCCACCAAGGCCAAATCAGAAACTTGGCATACAGAGGCAGACTCCCTGTAATTAATACTTTACGGCAATCATAATATTTTGGTTGTTTTGTAAGTGTTAACTTACAAAATAACCAAAATATTATGATTGCCGTAAAGTATTAATTATAAAGCCAAGAAAACATAATTATATATCTCTTGTTCATCGTGGATTGAGTCTTCTTACAGATGGGTATTGTATTAAATTGGCCTCTCTTTTTAAAGCCCTCCACCAAGCGCACCAAATTTTCTGTTCTCAGGAGCTTTCAGTTTAAATACATCTGACTAATGGTAGAACACTCCAGTGCATCTGATGAAGTGAACTCAGAGAAGGTTATCCTGGTATAAAAATTGTTAGTGTTCAAGGTGCCACTAGACTCCTGTTTTGTTTTGATTATGGAAGGCATTACACGGAGTGCAAACCCATCAGCTTCTTGCATAGTGAAGATCCACTTGCTGCATTTGAAAAAGTGGGTTTTAGACGATAAGAGATTGGATTTATGTCCTGCCCTTCACTACCTGAAGGAGTTTCAGAGCAGCTTACAATCCTTTTCCCCTCCCCTCCCCACAACAGACACCCTGTGATGTAGGTGGGGCCGAGAGATCTCTCTGGAGAACTGTTCCTGAGAGAACAACTGACCCAAGGTCACCAGCTGGCTGCATGTGGAGGAGTGGGGAATCAAACCCAGTTCTCCCAGACTAGAGTCCATGTTCCTAACTGTTATGTTCTGAGTTATTTCTAAGCTGTTTGGCTATGGTTTGTGTTACGGTATCCTAGTTTCCTCTGTTGTGATTGGCTGTGTAATAAAGACCTTCTAGTGGTCCTAAAGCCATACAGAGAATCCTATCAGAAAGCTCCGCTTAGGACCAATCAGAACTCATGAAAGTAGTTACATTGTATATAGTTCAGTTTGGAACAGTATAAGTTTGGATGCCGCTCTTCGCAGAGGCAAATTAGAGCTGAGTAATGTTCTGAATAAAAGCCACTTGTTCCTTTGGTTCTGATTCCTTGCCCTTTCCTCTTTCTTGTGGAGATCCTCAGCTACATGCTCTGAAAGCAGGAGACTTGCTGTGGCCAGGAGGGCATTTCCCTTCCCCATAACAAATGTGCATACACACTCCCCCCCCCCAGTGCACCAGGGAGCTAGGAGAGAAAGCAGCAGCCTGTGTCCCCGTCGCCTCTGCCGTGGCTCTTTTTCCAGCTAGGGAACCAGCCACAAGCTCAAAAGGGAGACATCACTGGCTTGCAGGCAGTGGTGCCCAAAGGGAAGGGATGTAGTCTCAGCTCCTGCTTGGCTCCTGCAGCGGCCTTGATGCTGCCTTCCCTCTCTGCCACATCCTGCCAGGACCTACTGCAGCCACCTGGCCTCCGCTCACAAGTGTTCTCCAAGTCCTGCACAGCCTCTCTCCCCCCTCTTCGGACATCTAGTTTCTGTGGTCCACCTGCAGCAGCAGCTGCTCTCCAAGCTGGTGTCTCTGCATAATGTGGTGTCTGGAACTGCTTGGAACTGAAGTAGAAAACACCACACATTTATGTGTCCGGTATTTTCTCAATCCCGACCCCCCCCCCCCCCCGACAGAACAGTCAAATACTGAAATGGCCGGTTCGAAACAGGACAGCTGGCCACTTTACTGGCAGCTTGCAAGAGTGGAAAATCTGATTGCTTCCATTTGAAATGCAATCTTTCTGATTAAAAAAAAACATGTACAGGTAAAGAACAGCTTACAAAAATCCATCCTCTTTTGAGCCCGAAATAAGGATGGGTGTAAGAAAAGCAAACCATGCAGATCCTGGATGACCTAGAAAGGAGACACTTAAAAAAAAAATGCATGCAACCATGGTAGCCTTTTATAGGAAATAAAATGTTAGGATGTTCTTAAAATGTCTTAATCTTCATTTTAAGAGGGAAAAACAGAAAAGAAGGTGGGACTAGCAAGTGATCAAAGACTGGAAACATCTTCTGCTGTTCCCAGTCATGGGGAGGCGGGCCATGAGATGATAAGGACAGATACTGAGGAGCTGGAAGTGATTTCTGTTATTCTGTGGTGTGGAGACCAAGCGTGGGAAGTAAAAGGTTTTCCTCATTTGCTCAGCTGGCTGCTTTCATCATGCTGGCTGCATCTGGGACACGAATCCGGCTCTGGTTTGGACGGCTCCTGCCTGAAGGGCAGCTTGGTGTTCCAGTGCAGCGGCCTCTACGACCTGGCATCCTGGCCTCTGCAGCACTGTCCTGCACTCATCAGAACAGAAGCCCGGAACCACTTAACTCAGGTGAGTAGATAGGAGAGATTCAGAGAGAGAGAGAGAGAGAGAGAGGGAGAGAGAGAGAGAGCACATCTGGTCTGATTCAGAGATCCACTTCCAAACAGGGATCAAGCTTTGGGGCTTGTGGTGAGAAACAAACTTTTAGGGGACCTGGAACTCCTGGGTAGCCCAGCCCTGGTTGCAAGTGCACTATCATGTCGTATTTACATTATTTCAGAAATGAAGTGAAAATGTTTCGTTCATGATGTGATCATGAAAGTATAAGTGTATCTTACCCATCCCAAAGAACAGATGCTTTGGTCTTGCTCCCGAATGCAAACCATCACCAGCTGCTGATTCCTTGTTCTCCTCACGACAGCACTACACAGTGGCTAGAGTGGTAGACCATAGTCTGGACAACCCAGGGTTCAAATGCCCACTCAGACATAAAGCTCTTTGGGCAACTTGAGACAGGCGCTTACAGGGTTGTTGTGAAGACAAAATGGGGAAGGGGGAACCATGTGTGCACCCTAAGCTTCTCAGAGGAAGGGTGGAGAGGGACTGTATAGACGTGTGGCCCTAACATAAGATAGCAGACATACTGCTGCCTTTCAGTAGCCATGGGAAAGCCATGGGAAACCCATGTTTATGTAGGATTCCATTTCCAGTAAATAGAACAGGTCTTAACTTAATTCCAGGAGCAAGAACTAAAAGAAGCATTGTGACACCTTACAGACTCCTAACAGAAGCACTGTGACTTAAGCATGCATGGGCTGGAAACTAATGATACTGGAAAAGCAGAGTGGAGGATAGGAAGGTGCAGCTGTAGACCAAGTGAGGATTGTTTGCTATTCTAGGATTCTTATATCGTACGGTAACAATTTCACATTAATCAAGGGTTGACCAGGGTACTGTTTCCTTATTTTCTTTTTAAATTTAAGCAATGCCTGTTACACCACTGTGCTCAGTGTTAATGAGGACTAAAAACTACATCAGAAAGTTCTTGATAGCATTCCCTGAAATGCAGGGAATTAGTGCCTAGCTGACACACTGCTAAACCACCCTTGTGTGCCTACCCCAGATCAGATGTGGATGCAGTGGTGGTTGTCCTTCAAAGACATGTCCCTAGGTGTGGGCAGGTGCCTCTGGAACACTGGCTCTCTAGGTGCCTGCTTACTTGCCTCTATGGCTGAGCCAACCTTGAAAACATGGTTGGATCCTACTGAATTCTAGCTTTTGTATAGAAGTTACTGATTTATGCCAGCACTGCTCTCAGGAAGCAAACTAATGTAATGATTTCTCAGCTGAGAAGATTCACAAAGTGCCTGGTGGCTACAAACCCTCACCATTTGACAAGAAAATCCTCTTGTGGACTAGGCGCTTCAAGACAGAAGATGAAATTCCTCCACGGATCCCGTAAGTACTTCACTTTATCCAGCCACTAGTAATATTAAACCGAGGAAATCTATCTCTATATTTAGAAGTAGTCACAATACTGTGTTAGGTGTCTTTTGGGAGAATAGGGCTGACTTTTGTGAAAGTAACACAACTTATGCACATATAAATCCTATTAATTTCAATGGGAGAATTAAGTCCAAAAGTAAAACTTTGATCCCAGCCAACAAAAGGCACAGATGAGACCTGAAGAAAAAGGAAGTTTAGGATATGTTTGAAAAATCTATGTTATCATGTCCCAGAAATGCCTTTCTACCATATACATTAGCCAGACTGGACTCTCTTCGTGAGACTAAATGTATACAAATCAAGTGTACATATCGATTGTCAAAAGGGGAAACACTGAGAAATGGAGGAAGGGGGAGGGGGAGAGAGCATTTCAGTCGTCCTGGACATTCAGTAACAAGCTTAAAGTTTGCCACATTTTGGTAAAAAAAAAAAAGGTTTTAAAAGGCGACTCTCATGTGTGAAGAGTTACTGTTCAGATATGACATTCCATAGGAACTGGGAGGGTTATCTCACTATAGAAAGTAATAGGCCCTCTGGAGAGGTCTAGGTACAATATTCATCTTTGCAAATTCATTTGCAAAAATTGGGAGCAGTCTACACTGATTCTGACTGGATTGCTTATTTTTTTGTCCTGGATCTTGTTTCATCTGTACTCTGCAAGATAATATTACATCTGTATCAATAAATACTGGGACTTTGGGGAAGCAAGAGCCTCTCATTCCCCCCCCCCCCTACAGCAGCCAGCAGGATCAGGCCTTGCATTGATTTTCAGAGTAAATAAACAGGCTCTAAAATGGGTCTGTGTCCCTGTGGTGGATACAGTATCTTCTAGTTTGGTCTTGATGCATCTTCCTTTCTGTTGGAAAAGGACAATTGAAAGAGGAGGGGAAAGATTAAAGCTATTCACAGTCCATCTAAAGGGAAGGAGAAGCAACTGAAAAGAGAAAGAAGAGCCCTGAACTGGACAGCCCAGGCAAGCCTGATCTCGTCAGATCTCGGAAGCTAAGCAGGGCAACCCTGGCAAGTTATTTGGATGGGAGACCTCCAGAGAATACCAGGGCCAGGGGGCAGAGGCAGGCTATCAAGCCACTTCTCTGAACACCCTCCCTGTCCCAGTAGGAGTCTCCAGAGGTCGTCATGACTTTCAGGCATGGGCGCACGCACACGCACACACACACAAAAGTGCAAAAAAAAAAAAACCAAAAGGGGGGGGAGAGAAGAGAGAGAGAACAAACAGACACTGCAGTGAAAACCATGTCCGCTGACCAGCAATCTGCATGTAGGAAGCCAGAAGCAAACGATCATGGAACAAATGTAGCACTGAGAGAGAGCTACAGCCTGCGATATCAATGTTTTAAAGCCTCATGGAGAAAGAGGTTGTACCTACAGTTCAGCTACATAAGCCACAATTCCAGAGGGGTACCTGCATTGTTATACTGCAATGAAGTAAAACAGAAATCCATTGGCACCTCAAAAACTAACAAAGTTTATTCCAGCATATGCTTTTGTAAGTTTGAACTCATATCAGGTGCCGTTGGATTTCTCTTTTATCTAAATGGGCCGGCGGGATATCCATGATATGAACTTCTGTGTTGCTTTCTTAAGCTTTTTGCAACTATGGTGCTGGAGAAGGGAGCTTGACCTATTTTCCTGTTGCATCTGTCTACTTAATGTGCTCCTACTACTATTTGCCGTGCCAAAGTAAACATTCCTACCTCTATGGGGATCTGTTTACTTTCCATGCAGGGAAAATACTTACTCAGGGGCATAATTTAAACCAGGGAAATGTCCTGGGGAAAATAATTTTACCTCATTCTAGCTGCATGGCAGCCCTTTTTAAAAACAAACAAACAAAAGGACTCTGATCCTGGACCTTAGTCTGTTATGTCTACTTTGGTCTTGAATGTACCACCACATTACCTTGGTTATAGAGTTCCCAATACCTGGACTTGTCATTTATGATGGTCTACTGATTGCATGTCATTTCCCATGCAGAAGTGCAGAAGAGAAAACATAGCTTGTGCCCTTGAGGACAACTTAAACTCCAGCTAGAGAAAATGGGCCAAGTATCTTGAGGTTTTTGTAGCTTTGCCATTCACACCAAACAATTTTTTTATTTTGCTTGGTGAAAAAAAATCTGAAAAGTCCCCTTAAAGGTGGATTGTGTCCATAAACTGAATAAACAAAATGTGTTCTCATGAGCTGCATATTAGTATGGCTCATATCCCAGTGGCAATGACAGGGCACGTGTGTGGGAAAGATGGTGCTCTGCTCTGCTCACATAAACATGTTAAATATTTAGGTTTTTAAAATATTTAGGTTTACTGCCTTGTGCTGATGCAGCTTTATGAAAAACACATTTAAGTAGCTTATGTAGACTGTGGATGCACAGGCAGAACCAATGTGCACTTAGCCCACGTGCTCTACCATGTATTTCAACCTGGCTGTACACTGTTAAAATGTCTGATGTGCGACTGAAACATCATAGTAAATGCTCAAAGAGGTCAATACATGTTTAGTTTGTCCCATCCTTGCCATGACATCTAGTAGAATGTAGTTTATGTCATGATGTTACAGTGCTCTGCATTTTTTTCTGACCCAGTTTTGCATCATTGGCTGGGGGCAAGGAAATGTAGAAAGCTGAAACATAACACATAACACAACATTTAGGGTCTATATTTGGAAGCAACAGTGTGCCTACCATAGCACCTCCTTTCAGTTATGAAGACTTACGAGCACTTCCATATTTGGAAAGGGAGGCAGACTCCTATTTTGCCCCATGAATTTCTCCTGAGGGGTCTGCTCACCTCCTGGAACAAAACTGAGGAAGCCTCAGCAGGTTACAGCAGGAGGGGGAAGCAAGAAAGTCCCAGTCCTTGAGACTTCTTTGAATACTAGCCAGCTGACTGTGAGCCACAGGAGCCATGTTATAGTGTGCTGTTGCCTGCACCATTTCAGGGCTGGTGTCAGGATGTCCCATCTTCATAATATTCTTGATTTGTACAGCACAAAACACCATATGACCTTTATTCTGCCCAAATGCGTGAGCATGGCAGCAGCCTAAAGTACAGTCCAAGCTTGAAAGAGGAATAGACACTCGTACTGGATTAGGGAAGATATCTGTATCTGAAATTGGTTTACAGCCTCACATTTGTCAGTGTTCCACATGTCTGAGGACAACAGAGATAAAGTGGCATTTCTAGGACATTCATTTGTACATCTCAACCTCCCATCTTCATTTCCTTGGGAAAAAATATATCTGTCCTTTAGTTAAAAGTACAAACATTTGATATGAAACATTGCAGACACTTATACATTATTAACATAATTGAAGAGAACAGTACTTCTCATGTGTCAGTATTTCTCTTTGCACAGAAATACTGTGATTGGTAGCATGCTGAACTTTCATATCAAGGAATTGGCCTAGCATATGAAATTTCAGTTCTCAAAGAGCTCTCTCAACCCCACCTACCTCACAGGGTGTCTGTTGTGGGGAGGAGAAGGGAAAGGTATTATACACCGCTCTGAAACTCTTTCGGACAGTGAAGAGAGAGGTATAAATCCAATCTCTTCTTCCTATGAGGTTGGTTAATGAAAGCAAGCAAAAACTGTGGCAATGACAAGCCATATGCTTTTCTAGCAATGTGAGTCAATATTATATCATTTTTGCCAGAACTTCATTCATTGTCTATGTGGTAAAATGTTATGAAGAATATCAAAGCTATCGAAACAACTGTGAAATAAAAGAATTTCACATGCACCTAGTTGAAGGCCAGAATACATAACTGGATCGTCCAGTGTTTTTTAATCCAAGTGCATGCTATAAAATATGCTCACAAGAGCACCAAAGAGGGATATTTAACCCCTCTGTGTATTTTCCTAATAAAAAAAATTCCCTCTCTTTTGAAGATATTGTTTGCCCTGTGGAGAAGAAACAGAAAACCTTTTAAATTTAATCAAGGGACTGTCTGTCCACTGAACTGTAGAGAGCCTACATATAGCAAAGAACATGTCTAGGTGTAACTGCTCATTTAGAAAGTGTATGCCACTGAATGGAAGGTTGGGGTCCTGGAGTTCCCTAGGCAACAGTAGATCATGTAATTAGTGAACAATTACAGGGCACTGTAATAAGGTCTGGTTTGCTACTTGCTTTCTGCCTCCATTGGAAACAGCTGATATGCAAAACTGTTCCACATAGTGTGCTGTGAAACACGATTAGTTCATTTAACCAACCAACCACATGTTTCATTTCTCTTGGTGAAAGTGATTCATAGATTAATGGATTTAATGTGCTCGCCTGGTTTTAATCTGTTCATTTCTAAGTGCATTTAGCCTAGATCATATGAAATACAGCTGTGCTTATTTACCTTTTCTGGACACAAGGAAAGGGACTCTGAACCTTCCTTTCTCACTAGTTAAGCCTGCTTTTGCAAGTTTGGTTTGTGCTGTATTAGAAATGTTAAGGGGACATTGCAGTGTTAAAATATGCCCCTGTGGATACAGCCTGAAAAATGCAATCCATACTTTTATACCTCCTATTCACTTCAATGGGGACTACACAGGAAAAATTCCATGGAAGCAGCTATTTACTCAGCAGCAGGACTCACTGAATTCTGTGGGACTCACAAGTAAGCATCTGAAGGATGACAGTCATGCAGCCAGTCGTACAAATGCTTACTGCAACATTCTTACTTTCAACTAAGGGTGCCTATGATTGCAAAGTTTAAAGAAAATATTTTCAATGGTCATTTGAGCATTTTCTATGTAATTCAGAGGGCTAGAGACATGCCAGACGTAAAAAAGGTAAAAATAACTTTTTTACTCAGTTTTGTTCAGGTACAAGCTCTCCCTCCTCTGCCAGGAGAGATCTGCAGGTCTCCCCCACCCAATATCTAGCAGTCCAAAACAGTCCAGTGGAGCCTGAGCGGTGGGTGTTGCCTTCTGACACACTTCCAGTGAGGTCAGGGGGTGTGGCATATGCAAATAAGTTATGCTAATGAGCTTCTGCACCTCTTTTTCTACGAAATGACCCCTGATTATCTATTTGAGCATTTACTATGTAATTCAGAGGACTAAAGACATGCCAGAAGTAAAAAAGGTAAAAATAACTTTTTTACTCTTGAAGAAAGAAAAGAAATCAGATTAATGAATTCAAGATGACTTTTCCTTTTGGCTTATAGACACGGCTAGCAAAATTGCAAGTTTTTCGCAATTCAGAGACCACACCAAATATCATGTCAGGATTGTGTTACCCAGAGTGTAGAACTCAGACTGTATTTGCAGTGGACTGTAGTTTACCCCATTCAGCAGAGCTGAAAGCCTTCATCCAGCCTAAGGAGTTGTCTTCCAATTTAAGTGGCTCATCTTTTGTCCACTTCCTCCAAGAGCTCCAGGAAGCCTACCTGCCTACCAGGATATCTCCCATCCAGATACAGGCAAACCATGATTTAGAGCTGCAAGTGCACTTACATTTTTAGCATTCCATGCCATGTACCTACATGCTGTAACATCTAGATTAGATTACTGCAATGTGATCTACATGGGGCAGTCTTTGAAGACTATCCGGGTGTTGACTGCACCACTGGCTTGCCAATCCATATCTCAGAGAACAAAAAGGAACACCCTCTAAGAATGAAAAAACAAAGCACCAAAGTACAATAAAGGGGGGGGGATACATACATAATACATACATACATATATTTCAATATACCAATTCCTTTGTATGACTGCAAAGGAATAAAGTTGAACAATTGACAATATGTGATGCATTTTTAAAAGTCTGTAGATGGAGTTAAAACAGGACAGACAGGTGGGTTGCCAGACAAATTCAGTTTCAAGTGAATCTTCATCCAAATCTTTCTGCAGTGGCCTGTTTATACAGAATACTTGTCATTTTAAAGACAGACACCAATTCATATCAAGAACCCTAAAAATGGATTACTCACTATTGAAAGAAAAAATCAAAACATTTTAAATGTCTACTTTTTGTAACAAGTTCATATTATTAAATTATTCAACCAGGAAAGTTAGTTCTGACTCATGTTTGTTTCTATTGCAAGTACCTTTTGTAACATGTCAAGATGCCTCATCTTAAGGTACATGCTGTGTACCATACATACCGTAACATCTAGGTTAGATTACTGCAATGTGATCTATGTGGGGCTGCCCTTGAAGACTGTCCGGGTGCTATAGTTAGTAAAGAATGTGTTGACTGGAGTTGGTCATAGGGACCATATCACTCCAGTCTTGTTCCATCTACACTGGTTTCCAAAATGCTTCCAGGCTCAATTCAATTACTGACCTTTAAAGCCATGTATGGCCTGGGACTGACATACCTTAATGACCACCTTCTCATATGAAGCTATCCACTCACTGCAGTAACCCTCAGAGGTCCTGCCTCAGTTGCCCCCACTGTTTGAAGCTAGAGAAGTGGCAACCTGAGCAAGGGCCTTCTCAGTTGTGGCACCAAAACTTTGGAACTCTGTCCAGGGTGATTAATCTGTCTCCCTCTATATGTGCTTTTGTCATCAGGTGAAGCGTTTTTGTTTTATCTGGCATACACCCAGTAACGATTATTGGCCCTCCTAGTGTTGATTATTTGTTTTTAATTGAATTATTTTATAACTTTAACTATATTTTTAATTGTTTAAAAAAATTATGTTTGCTGCCTTGCGAACCCTGATTGGGTGGAAAGGCAGCATAAAAATGTTTTAAATAAAATAAATAAATAGGTCCAATGCAATTTCTGTTGTAGGATGGAGACAATGGATGCTGCCAGAAATAAAGCTCGAGTCAAGGGCTGTTACATAATGATTGGGCTCACCATTGTTGCCTGCTTTATCGTGATTGCGTCTGCTAAAAGAGTAAGTGCTGTTCCATGGCTGATTCATTAATGGATTTGGATAAATGTTTCTTTTAAAAATGCTCCTACTGTCACATTTTAAACATGTTAATTATCTGTCTATCTGTCTGTCTGAACAAAATTTGAGTCCAGTGGCATCTTTAAGACGAACAAAGTTTTATTCAAGGTATAAGCTTTTGTGTGCATGCACACTTCCTCAGATACATTGAAATTGAAGTTACCAGTAATTACATATAAGTAGAGGGTGAGCAGCTAATTAGCATACAGCATAATGAAGATGTTTAACAGATGCAAGGACCAAACAGGAATAACAAGCTATAGTCACCATTTGTTTGGATTCAATTCAGGGGGGAAACATAGTGAAGCAAATAAATAGATCAAAATTGGAGATTGATGCATAAATGTACCCTTCTTAATTGTGGAATTAGCTGAGACACTGTTGTTACACTCCATCCCTCTGTCTTTATTCAACATTTCCTTCAAGGAGTTCACAGCAGCATTCAAGGTCTTTATTCAACATGTCCTTCAAGGAGTTCACAGCAGCATTCAAGGCTCTTCCCCCAACATTTGTCCTCACATCAAGCTTGTGAGGTAGGTTAGCCTGAGAGAGAATGTCTAGTCCAAGATCACCAAGAAATCTTTGTGGGGATTGGGGAGTTAAATCTCAATCTCCCAGATTCCAGTCTGACATTTTAACCATTATACAACCCTGGTTCGCATGATGATTCTGTCCTTCTAGATGCATTCTAACGACTAATAACTAGATTGCTTCCAGTTTCATGCCCGTAACATGATCATAATACTGTTGCACCTGCAAATATGCTTGGAATGGGCTACTATTATACAATCTTAAAATTCTGAATGATTTCACTGGAAGAAGGCAGGCTGCCACTACTGCTGTGCTGGGCAGACAGAGATGAAATGTGGCACAAAAACAGGCAAAAGTGAGCAAAGGATTTACTTACCGATCACCCAAAAGATATTTGGCACATCACATGCCAATGTCCTTTCTCGTGTTACTTTTGCACCATATCCAGCATGAGCTGCAGCACAACTCTTACCTGTGCCACAAAGATAGCATTGGAAGCCATGGGCCAGACGGGAGGTTCCTTTCCAGGTCTCCGGCACATGCACACACACAAACTATGGCTTTCCCATAATAAACCATGATATAACACAGCAGATTTCAATATTTTTTTGCAGCATTGATAGATAAAATAACATTCAAATAACAAACATGCATGAGTTAACCCAGTTCTTCCCTTCCTTTCTGTTAAGTCGGTTACTTAATAAAGAGTCAGAGAGTGATTTCAGCCAAAGATCAGCTTTATTCAGCAACTCGTAACTCAACTCCAAACAGATCAACATGAATAGCAAGAACAACTTTTACATTGAAGCTGTTCTACTTTTAAACTCTCCTGGCTAATGTAGCCACGCCCTATTATACAATATCAACCTATGAGGTTGCAGGGAAAAAGTCCAATCACATTAGTTCCCACGCTTGGAACTGGCTGTTGGTGATTGGTCAGTTCTTTCTGGGCTACCAATTACAAGTGAGGGATTAGGATCCTAGCCCAGGATGAAGCTTGACATGGTGATTCAATGACTGCGTTCACATACATACATGGGTCAGATGGAATACACCACATACACATAAGTTGTTTTGGTGTTCAGTCGCACAGTTGAGTCTGACTCTTTGTGACCCCATGGACCACATCACGCCAGGCCCTCCTGGTCTTCCGCCGTCCTCCGGAGTTTGCTCAGTTTCATCTCATCCATATAAGACAGTGGTGCAATTATGCCCCCATAGAGCTGTCCTTGTCTTGTTCCTGATTGAATAAAGTACTCTTGCTGAAATCACTCCACGTTTCTGAGTACTTTTCACATACTTTGGTCAGATTGAATACACCACACTTTCTTCCCTATAACAATTTTTCTCCTCCTCCTGTTATATGTTACAGGGCCACATCTTTTTTCCTTGTAGTTTTAGTGCTGTTCCAGGAAGCAATCTGGAGATCTCCCAGAATGATAAATGCTTTCCAGGTGACAGAGATCCATTCCCCTGGAGTATAAATGCTTTCCAGGTTGAGATCCATTCCCCTGGAGCAAATGGCTGCTTTGGAGGATTGACTCTATGGTATTATCTATGGCTGAGGTCTCTCCCCTCCCCAAACCCTGCCCTCTTCAGACTCCACCACAAAATCTCCAGGGGTTTCCCCACCTGGAGCTGGCAACCCTTGTCTCAGGCCTGGCCCCAATGAGTCCTTCCTCAAAGGTGAAAATAGGCCTGGAAAAGACCCTGCCTTCTCCCCCTGCCTAGAATACTGTATTTGCCTAGCAACAGCCACTGAGGGAATCAGTTGCTTAAAGCCCCAATGTGCACATTTTTAAGATTTCTCACTTTCTGCAAACCCTTTTCAGGTTTATAGAAAGATTCGTCTTGCCCATTCACAGCTCCAGTTACCTGATTTAAGTATCTTTAGATTTGGCTGACTCCGCTATTAGTACATAGATTACTAGTTATATTATTTGGTGCAGTGGTGAGCAAGGTATTATGTAGTCACGTGGCTCTTTTGGTTGATGGCAGTTGGAAGTGTAATATTCTACAAATCAGAGTGAGTACCACTGATGACCCCAAGGAACCTGAGCAATGCTAGGTAAATTATTATTGTGGCCAAACGTTTTCTCCCCTAGTAACTCTGTTTACTGTGTCTGGATATATTAATTGACCAAGCTGGTTCCTCTTCAGTAGGTCAAAAAAACAGCCTAAGCCCGAGGGGAGTGGGAGGAAAGGGTTGTGCCCTCATTATCATTGACATTTATGTCCTTGCAGAAAGAATATAAAATTTCTTTCATGACTCATGGGATGGTTGGGAATTTACAAGCTTGTACAGGACCAGGAGAAATGAAGTCTGGGGTCTGCTGCAGCTAAGCATCTGAGGTGGTAGTCCTCCCTCCCTTTTCAGGAGTCACGAGGCCATCAGGAACATGCAGGGCTAAGTCCTGGGGAGTTGTGCTACGTGAAGACAATTGGGTAGGTGCTGCTTCTTTGAGATTATGGCAATTTTGGCAGGTGACTTGGTTGCCAGACAAGCTTTCAACGCAGCTTGAAAATTCTGCAGCATAATTTGATTGAAAGAAAAATTAATTTTTAAAAGGCCACTTGTTTCTCAAAATATAAAGAAGCTGGGGGCTGCCATATATATTATTGCTTAGCAGTGCCTGCATTTGGCCATATGATACAGATAAAGGCCTCTTTCAGTTGTATGCTCTGAAACCACACTAGGGGTTAAATCTGGACGTTGTATCCTTGCAGGCTG